GCTCACCTCAGTGACTAGAGTTTTTACTGGAGTTTCATTACATAGGCTTGATTGACTGAATGAATTTTGAATATTTTGATTGAATCATTGGCCATGTGCTTGAACTCAATCTCCAGCCAATCCTGCCCTCTTCAGAGGCTGGGCTTATAACACCTAACTCAAAGCCCCAACCCTGTAATTCCATGCTTGGTCTTTCTCATGTGGCTAGCCCCCATTTTGAGTCATCTTATTAGCATAAATTTAGGTGTGGGCCCAGAGGCCCACCATGAGTAACAAAGACTGTCCTATCACTCCAAGAAATTACAAAGATTTAGAGGTTGTCTCCTAGGGACTAGGGACAAAAAAACAGCCAAATTATTATTCAACAGTGTGGTTTTCTTTGTTGTTATCTCATTTGAGGTTTGTTAAGCTCTTGAATGTGTAAATTTATATCTTCCACAAAATTTGGAAAATATTCAGCCACATTTTCCTTAGATATTATTTCTGCCCATTATTTCCTTCTCTCATCTCCTTCTGGGGTTCTAATTACACATATCTTAGAGGTTTCAGTATAGTTCCTGAGGCTCATTCATTTTTACTTCATTATTTTCTTTCTCTGTGTTCCTCAGGTTAGACAATTTCTATTAATTTTTTTCTTTTTTCTTTTCTGGCTGGCATCTAGGATTTTAGTTCCCTGACCAGGGATTGAACCCATGCCCTCTGCAGTGGAAGGCCAGAGTTCTAACCACTGGACCACCAGGGAATTCCCAATAATTTCTATCTTCAGCTTTGCTGATTCTTTCATCACCTGCATTCTATTGTTAAGTACATCTGGTAAATTTTATTTCAGATATTACAGTTTTTAGTTCTAGAATTTACATTTCTTTTGTTATAGTTTCTATTTCTCTGTTAGATTTTCTATATTTCATTCATAATGCACATATTTTCTTTTATGTCCTTGAATATGTTTTATAGTAATTGTTTTAAATCATTGTCTGTTGGTTTCAGCATATGCAGTATCTATGGGTTGATCTTTGTTGATTTGTCTTTTGTCTCAAAAATGAGTCACAATTTCCATGTTTCTTGGTTTATTAAGTAATTTTAGGTTGTATCCTTAACATGTTATTATCCTAGCAACTTTAGGTATATCCTTAACATATATTTTCCAAACAGATTGGAGTCTGTAATACTCTCACAAAGAATGTTAGTTGTGGTTTTGTTTTGTTTTGGGTTTTTTTGGTATGTTTGCTTGGTTTAGCATGCAATTGATGGATTGGGCTATATTTTGGAAGGCTGACGGCTTAAAGTTTGTCCTGTTCAGGCGTGATTCAGGCATTGGCAGAAGAGTCATTAAAAAGATTTAGGGATTCCTTTCTCTGGATCCCTCCTACTTTGGATTTTCCCCTTACTTTTAAGCAACTACAGTTATACCAAACTCAGTCCTCTACTCTTCAAGCCACAAAACCTAGTGTTTTGTAGCAGAATTTTAGCCAAAATGCAGGGGACAGACTGAATTTTGTCCTTAGTTTAGAAAACAAGGGATCTGAGTACAACCCTTCTTACAAACTTTCAACTGCACTCTAGAATCTACTTACTTTTGGTCATTCTCCAATGCCTCACTTAGAGTTTACCCATGTCATATCTTACAAGAGCAACTCATGTTAGAATTCCTCCATCACCCTAATTTTGTAGGTTAAAAAAAATCTATAAAAGGAATTTATTAGAATTGAGTCTCACTAGCATGAGAGTTGAGTTGTGGTAGTAAGACAGATGTTACTGGGTAATTTCCTTAAATTTAGTAAATACCACTAGTTTGAATTCATTGGCATGACAGTCAGTGTTAATTAAAATTCTTTTATTTCTATAAGCATATGTTATAAAAACTCAGAGTATAATTGTGACAACATCAACTAATTTCATAATTCTTAATAAAAGAAAACCATCATACACTTTACTCAACAAGTATCTAATGAACACTCACTTCTTGCCAGATGCTGAGCTAGGCTTGGAGCTGTACTGGAAAACAAGTAGACAAAGCACTAGAGGTAGGAGACAGATAGTAAACAAGTAAACAGATATATAAAGAAAAGGGACCATTTTAGATAGTGGCAAGTGTTATGAAAATAACAGAAGATAACTGAGAGGTGGCTACAATCTTAGACGTGGTGGTCTGGAAGACATTTCTGAAGAGATGACAGTTCAGCTGAGACTATAATGACATGAAAGAGTTGGCTAAGGGGACTTCCCTGGAGGTCTAGTGATTAAGACTTCACTTGCCAATGCAGGGGGTGCAGGTTTGATCCCTGGTTGGGGAGATCCCTCATGCTTTGCAGCCAAAAAACCAAAAACATAAAACAGAAGCAATATTGTAAAAAATTCAATAAAGACCTTAAAAGTGGTCCACATTTAAAAAAAAAAATCTTTAAAAAAGAGAAAGAAAGAGTTGGCCAAGAATATAAGAAGAGCTGGCTATGTTAGGACATGTCAGGCAAAGGGAATAGCTAGCAGAAAGGTCTTAAATTCGGTATATGGATAGTGTGTCGTGTCAAGAGAATGTCATGAAAAAACTGTCAGGGACCAAGTCATGTGGGGTCTCATGGCTTTGCATTTCACTCTAATTGCAACGAGGAGATATCAGAGAATTTTAAGCTAGAAAAGAAAATTATCTGATTTATATTTTCAAAGGATCCAACAGGTTACTCTGTGAAGCATGAACCAAAGGGGTCAAGGGGAGAAGCAGGTAAATCAACTGGGAGGCTTCTACTACAGTCCAGGCAAAGGATAAAGGCAAGAGTGAAGATGTGAGAGGGTATTGGAATTGGGAAATATTTAGGGGGTTTGGCCAACTGAATCAACTGGATTCCTGACAGAACTGGTAGGAAGTGGAGGTTCATAAACTCCCTGTGCTTACATGGATGAATTTTGCAGGAGCCTTGAATGCCCTCAAATGGAATGAAATTTTTTCTACATATATTCACAGGAACTTTGGGTTGGGAGCATACACAAGTTTCATCAAATTCTTAAATGAATTTGAAGTTGCCTCTGGAAAGCAAAGTTAGGTGCTTCCTAACACTTTACCCTCTAGATTTTCTTTTTCCTTCCTTTTATGTTTATGATTATGTAAAAGCAGAGAAGAGAGTAGAGACTGAATTGTTATCAAAGAATTTTAAATTTATATAAAGAAAGGATACATCTTGAGAGTCAGCTCTCTTTTTAATTTTACTTCATTGAGTATATAAGTATATATATACAAGGTAGACAAAGACTCAAAGAACTCAACTTTCTGTTTCCAACAACTTAACCACTCCATAACGTGTGAAATTCTCAGACATTATGACTAGTACTAGCATAGTGATTTTTATAAACTTGGGCTACAGTTGTTAGTAAAATGATACTTATTTGGGGATGATATATCCCACCTCTTTTATTCTTTTTTCCCTTTCTGATATGTACAAGAAATAATAATAATATAACTCTGACTTAGTGGTAATTCCTATGTGCCTATATAAATTAAATGAGTCAAGATCACTCAGTTTTATATCCTATCTAATTCTGCTACAGACTTTAATATATAGCCTCACAGCAATGTTTTACAAGTAATCTTTGTTTGCTTTCTTGTCTCAACACTTTAATGTCTTAGGAGAAAGTAATACAAAGTTGATGTAAATATTATTGATTTTTCTACTCTGTGAACTGTAATTTCTACACATCATAGATCTTATTGTCTTTTAACAAAAAAGAGTGCTTATTAGCTAATGAGACACCATTTTCCTTTGATTAAAAGGAAGAAACCACCTTTCATCTATGAGAGAATTTTCTGTCAAAAATATTACATGGCAAGATGGGTAATATTAACAAGATGACATTTCATGTGAAAGATGATTTCCCTAATGAAGAGATGTAATCATTCCTAACTGTTGGAGAGGCAATTTACAGAGTAGGCAAAGAGAAGTCCAAATTTGAAATGAATGGTACACAGGAGAGTTTTCACAGTCCAAGATCAGTCCTCCAAGATTTACTTGAAGGATTATGTTATTATTTCTTTTACATACCAGAAAGGGAAAAAAAGAATAAAAGAGGTGGGAAATGTCATCCCCAAATAAGTATCAGTTATTATAATAGAAAGGTTGTAAAGAGAAAAATTCATATTAATTCCTTCTCCAGTTCCCCATAACTAAATTATTAATTAACCAGGAAGAGAAATGACAAGTTTGAGATCACACACAGATGCAAGAAAGAACGGAAAATAATGTGTTAACATCTTAGTCAAATTCAATTCCAGCTCTGAGTTTCTTATTTTTCAAAAAGGGAATATCTTAGGATATTGAATGACAGATTACAGCTGAGATATCAAGAAGACAGAGATACTTCATACCTAAGTCAGGTGCCAGAACCAAATTCAGATTTTTAAAGGAAAGGATAACAAAATTCCTGGACCTCCAGGTTCTACATCCCAGATGTGTAGGGATTAGGCTATGCCTGTTCCCTCACGCTCATTTGGATGTGTCTCCAGGAAGCCTACTGAAAGGAGCCTCTGAGAAACCTACTAAGAAAACTTATTGTCTTACTTCTGCAGTGATGAGGCAAAATGACTGCAGAAAAACTGCTTTGACAGTAATGCGGGAGAGGTTCTGCTATTTGGGGATTGGCCAGCACTCTCAAATATGACCAGCTAAAGTCTACATGAGGGTTTCCCATGGCATGGAGGTGGGTAGCATATGAGGAAAATCTCATCTTGGATTTAGTACAATAAGGCTACAGAAAAGGATCAAGGGGTTCAATTCACAAGGATAGGATCTATGTGGACCCCCAATTTCTGGAGGAAGCAAGGGCAGAGAGAGTCTAAATCTACCATTCAAATAGAGATCTATCCATTAGGAAATCAGAGGTGAGAGGCCCCAGTGATGGGACTCTTCCAGTACCTATGAAACCATCCATGAAAGGGTCAGCCCTAAATATTTCTCAATCCCAGGACCTCAAATCTAGCCCACCAAACAAAGTTTGAGTAAGGATTTCCTTACCTTCTTACCATATTTTTCTTCCTCCCTTTCACGCTCCAACCAAATCTGGAAAGGTCTGAAGCCAAGGTTAGCAAGTGGGCAACTAAATTCAGTAATAGCTGAGAGAGAGGAAAGATGTTACTGTAAGTTAAACATAGTTTCAATTACTATACAGGAAAGTGTGTTAGTCACTCAGTCATGTCTGACTCTTTGCGACCCCATGGACTGTAGCCTGCCAGGCTTCTCTGTCCACAGGATTCCTGAGGCAAGAATGGGTTGCTATTTCCTCCACCAGGGGATCTTCCCCACCCAGGGATCAGACCCCAGTTTCCTGCATCGCAGACAGATTCTTTACTGTCTAAGCCATCAAATCCAGACAAGTGTTTTAGGCCTTAAAATGTTTTTAGGAATGCTGATTATCTAAAAAAGAATAGAAATCTTAGAATTCTAACTCAGTGGTGGGAGAAAGCTTCCACTATTGAAAAATTTAGAGAGATAATGGGAAGCAATATATATAATATATATGCTTTATTAGGCCTGATGCCTAGGGCTTGTTCAATGTAAAAGTAACTAAATCATTCACATATAAACCTTATACCAACTCCATCATATAATGCTCTCTAGAATAAACAACTTACCCTTTATTCTCTCTAGAAACAGTCTTCTCCTTTATTCAACTACGGCCATGTTCTTCTAACTCATCAGAAACTGTTTCAGCATTCTGTAACGTCAAGGGTAGGAGGGGTGATGCTTAGCATAACTACAAAACACTGTCAATTTCCCCTGGCCTAAGTTTTGTTACATACTAGAGTTTGAGCTTAATCTTTCTCACTAAGAAGTATGTAAAAGCATTATATAGAATAAAAAGTTCTATGGATTATGTTACCTTTGGATATCTTCATTTTTTCTCCTTTATTAGCACTCAGTTTGGTCGACAAAAACAGGGCATATATAATATACCTAATATCCTTTCTAATGAATATTTCCAATCAAATAAAATACGGTTTGAGAAAAGCACTTAGTGTTTTCATGAAACAGTAGGAACAGAAATAAAGTTCTAGTGGGTTAAAGAGTGAATGGGAGATAAATAAATAGATATAAGAAATTAATACCAAAATATCTGTGAGCTCTGCAGTAATCAAATGAAAGATTTAGTGTTCTTGCAAGAGCTAGACTGAATGAATAAATGAACTGAAAGGCCAAATGGAATTATCACAGATTTAATTTTTTAAAACTTGTGTCTATGACTCTTAAGAAATACTGAAAACATTATATATATTTTAGAGCTCTTGAACAAAATGAGTGCTCAATAAACTTCATTTCTGCTCACACAAACATGTCCTCCAATAAGCTATATGTTCTGCACCATCTCAGAGTACATTCTCTGTCATAAGCCCAAGTAGGCTACACAGTGAGTGCAATGTGTACAAATGCTGTTCCATTCCAAAGTTGTAGCTTACCATGTATGGAGTGATAGTCTAACACATGCCTAGGACAATGATTTACAAACTCTTACATTTTTTTAAACAATAATTTGTAATCAAAACTTTAGTCCTAAGAATTCTTACCAAACATATTACAAGTGACAGCATAAAAAAAAAATCTTGCACAGTAACTCAAAGTTCAGCACTACAACGTACACTTCAACTGGCAGGACACTGTCATTTTTAGTAGTCTAAAATTTCCAAATAAAGAATGTTATAAAGAATTACTATTCAAATTATCTAAGAATTCTATTTCTTAGTAAGTGGTTACTGTTTTATGAAATATCAATAACAAAGAAATGGTTTAGGTAAATGAGAACACTGAGTATACTACCAACTTTCCTGCTGCATGAGTACTTTTGTTTTGGACAAGCATTAAGCATCATTATCAAAGGTCCTTCTGATAATGCCACTGCCATTCTTATACCTATAGATGATTAAAAGAAACTATAAAAAAAGAGAGCAATCAATGACTCATACTACAGCAGAAGTCCTTTAAAACACTTTTTCTCCTCCAATACAAATGGTTGACAATGGGGGTCTTAAAAACATGACTCAACTATTTCTTAGGATTTTTCTCTATATATATTTCCAAGAAAATAAACTTTTAATGATATCCTTCAAATTAAAAACCCAGGGATCAAACCCAGGTCTCCCGCATAGAAGGCAGATTTTTTACCAGCTGAGCCACAAGGGAAGCCCCAAATTAAAAACAGGGTGCATTAAAAGCAAAGCAAAATCCTGTTCAATAGAAAAAGTTTTCTCCACTCACTATGAATTCAGGTATCTAACGCTAAAATTTGCTCTCATTAATACAGCTACTATGCTTAATTCCTTGCTTAGTTATTCCAGTAACCATGGCAATATTCTAGCACATAGCTGAGTGTATGGGGCAAATTATGAACTTGGTAATTGTTATATGTAATTAAAAATTATTGTATGAAATTAAATTGCTATAAGTAATTAAAAATTATTATATGAAATTAAAAGACGATTGCTCCTTAGAAGAAAAGCTATGACAAACCTAGACAGCATATTAAAAAGCAGAGACATTACTTTGCCGGCAAAGGTACATATAGTCAAAGCTATGGTTTTTCCAGTTGTCATGTATGGATGTGAGAGTTAGATCATAAAGAAAGCTGAGCACCAAAGAATTGATGCTTTTGAACTGTGGTGTTGGAGAAGACTCTTGAGAGCCCCTTGGACTGCAAGGAGATCAAACCAGTCCATCCTAAAGGAAATCAGTCCTGAATATTCATTGGAAGGACTGATGCTGTAGATGTAGTACCTAACATGTAGATAGCTACATAGTTGGAGATGGCAACATATTCCCATTAAAAAAGTCTTTTCAAGATCAAGGTGTCAATAAGATATAGAGATGGGATGACCAAGAAAGAAAATTTATAAATGTTCCCATCTGAAACATGCACACAACAGTCATGCTGAGCTCATGAGGGGATCTTGAATTCAGTGATATGATCAAATCTGTATGTTTAAGAGGGAAAAAAAAAACTTCTCTGGAGATCATATGGATAAAGGACTACAGTGAACAAGACCTTCATGTTACATTATTTTCTTTGGGTATGAAAGCTCATGAAACCTGCTAACTTGGGTTATAGAATCAAGAAAATAATTAAGGTTAGACTGAATCTTATAGAAACAATGCTAGCTGCTACCTTCTCTTATACAAAGGATACCAAGAAGCCTCCACTGCTTTCACATATATCTCCCATGGAAGGCTCTCTCACACTAAAGTTTGAAATTTTTTAGAAGAAGCTAGGGCTTTTTGTTCATCTCGCAATTAGAGATGAAAACTAAAAGTAAATGCCCTGAAAACAATATACTGACTTAAAAATCACATCAGCTTGTAAAATGCAGGCATCAAAGCCAATTTTGATAGGTACTGTGATAGGAAAGCAGAAGGGTTCTTAGTACCTGTAGTAAGAAGAGGTGATCAAAAGAAGGGAAGTTGAGGAATGCAGGAAAGAGGGGTTAAGAACTAAAAACAAGCAATTATTTCAACATTTTGTCCTTGTGGTGGCTCTGGAAGAAGAACTGTGGAGAAGAAGCATTTTGTTAAAAAGGCAAAAGCCTTTGATGTGTAGCTGACAACAAACTGTGGAAAATTCTCTTAGAGACAGGAATACCAGACCACCTTACCTGTCTCCTATATCCTGAGAAACCTGTATGTGGGTCAAGAAGGAACAGAACCTTACATGGAACAACTGACTGACTCAAAATTGGAAAAAAAAAAAAATTGGGAAAGGAGTACCACAGGGCTGTATATTGTCACCCTATTTATTCAACCTCTATGCAGACTACGTCATGCAAAATGCTATGGAGGAATCCCATCCATGAATCCCAAACTGGAATTAAGAATGCCAGGAGAAATATCAACAACATCAGACATGCAGATGATACCACTCTAATGGCAGAAAATGAAGAACTAAAGAGCCTTTTGATGAGGGTGAAAGAGGAGAGTGAAAAAGCTGGCTTAAAACTCAACTTTCAAAAAACCAAGATCTTGGCATACAGTCTCATCATTTCATGGCAAATAGAAGGGGAAAAAGTCAAAGCATTGTCAGATTTTACTTTCTTGGTGTCCAAAAAACTGCAGACAGTGACTGCAGCCATGAAATTAGAAGATTGCTCCTTGGAAGGAACGTTAAGACAAACTTAGCATAAAAAGCAAAGACATCACTTTGCCAACAAAGGTCTGTATAGTCAAAGCTATGGTTTTTCTAATAGTCATGTATGGTTGTGAGAGTTGGACCATAAAGAAAGAAGGCTGAGCACCAAAGAATTGATGCTTTTGAATTATGGTGCTGGAGAAGACTCTTGAGAGTCCCTTGGACACTGAAGAGATCAAACCAGTCAATCCTAAAGGAAATCGACCCTGAATATTCATTGGAAGAACTGATGCTGAAGCTGAAGCTAAAGCTCCAATACAGCTTTGGCCACCTGCTGCAAAGAGCCGACTCACTGGAAAAGACCCTGATGCTGGGAAAAATTGAAAGTAAAACAAGGGGACTACAGAGGATGAGATGGATACTATCACTGTCTCAATGGGCATGATTTTGAGCAAACTCTGGGAGATAGTGAAGGACAGAGAAGCCTGGTGTGCTGCAGTCCATGGGGTCACGAAGAGGCTGACATGACATAGTGACTGAATAACAATAGCAACAAATCCAATTTAATCATTACATCTTGCTAACCTATACTATTCATACCAAAAATTATAGATGAAAGTATCAGAAAGTTAATATCACAGAAAATGCTGGGGTATATTACCTCTTGAGTAACTATATTAACAGAGAGAAGTGACAAAGATTATAAAATAGCATTATAAAATACTAGACTGTTTAATTATATTTGCTCATTTTATGCTTAAAGTAATACACCACACTTGCCTGTGTGCTCAGTCGTGTCTGACTCTTTTCAATCTCATGGACTGTAGCCTGCTAGACTCCTCTGTCCATGGGATTTCCCAGGCAAAAATACTGGTGTAGACTGCCATTTCCAGGGATCAAAGCTGTATCTTGTGTCTCCTGGATTGGCAGGAGGATTCTTTATCACCAGTGCCACTTCAGTGTTTATAAAACACAACGTGGTGTTCAGGATTGGATCCTGGAACAGGAAAAGGTTATCAGTGAAAAGCTAGCATTATCAAATAAAGTGTATAGTTTGGTAATAGTATTGTACCAAAATTAGTTTCCTAGTTTTGACATATGGTTATACAAGATGTTAACTTTAGATCAAGCTGAGTAAACAGTATACAGGAAATCTTTGGGCTATCCTTGTAACTTTCTTGTAAATTTAAGTTATTCTAAAACAAAACACTTATTAACTTATTAGAACTCTAGTTTACAACATTAAAAAAGTCAAATTGTACCTTACACGGATTGGTGATTTGAGAAGATCATGCTTATTACACAAAATTCTCTAGCAGTCACATTTAAAGGAAACCAGTCCTGAATACTCATTGGAAGGACTAATGCTGAAGCTGAAACTCCAATACTTTGGCCACCTGATGAGAAGAACCGACTCACTGGAAAAAACCCTGATGCTGGGAAAGATTGAAGGCAGGAAGAGGATGACAGAGGATGAGATGGTTGGATGGCATCACTGACCCAATGGGCACGAGTTTGAGTAGGCTCTGGGAGTTGGTGATAGAGAAGCCTGGTGTGCTGCAGTCCATGGGGGTCACAAAGGGTCAGACACGACTAAGCAACTGAACTGAAACTTTAATCTCCTGAGCAACCATGGGGAAGGCATTCTATCCACTCAATGGCAGAAGTCAGAATACTTTCAGCTAGTAATGTCTTCTGCATCAGGTCTGGATAACACCCTGGGTCATTTCAACTCATGTTCATTTCAGCAGCACATTTCAAGGGAGCAATTTACATTTCATGTTTCTTTCACTATCTAGTAACCAGAGCTGTAATAAATATTTCAGGCTCTGGTGGTGTTTTGTTCAAGAAAAATATTATGTTTTCTCATTTGTTTATAGTACCTAATGTTCCCCAGTATTTCCAGATGTTTTTTTATCAATTTCTCATTTATTTTTATTTGCTGTTATCATGTTCCCATGTAAATGTTATGAAAAAGAAAACAATTTGGGCTTGTGTTCAAATAGGAAATAAACCTTAGAAAATAAACAGATTGGTCTCAACATAATTCTGACATTATAAGACCTAGTGAGGATAAAATCGAAAAGGACACAAACGTTATTAAGATTAATCATACAAGTAGTAACAACCTGGCTTCCTTTATTTTTTGGCCGTGCTGCTGGGCTTGTGGGATCTTATTTCCCCCTCCTGGGATTGAACCCGGGTTTTCTGCAGTCAAAGTGTGCCGTTACTGACCAGTGGACCCAGGGAATTTTCAGCCTAATATCCTGATTAATTAAATGACAATTATAGTTTTATTGCGGAGCAGGCAATGGCAACCCACTCCAGTACTCTTGCCTGGAGAATCCCATGGACGGAAGAGCCTGGTAGGCTGCAGTCCATGGGGTCGCTAGGAGTCGGACACGACTGAAGCGACTTGGCAGCAACAGCAGCATGGTTTTATTGATGAGGGAGTAGAAAGAGGTTCAGCAGTAGGAAAAGAATCAACACAGAGGTTAGTTGTTACATGGTGTCATAAGTTAGGGGCAGAAATGGGAGAAGGATTGTTTTAAGTTCAGAAAGATGGTAAGGCTGGGAGAGTAATCGAGAGCCGCCCAGCAGGACTATGTGCTTCAGTTCTCCGCGTGAAGGCAGAAGAGGGGGTGGCTGGGCGGACTGCGACCCCGCCGCTACGCGGGTCCTGCCCAGACTAAGGCGCGCTTCAGACGAGTTGGATAATGACCCATAACATCTACTGGACCCCTAGAAGCTTGAAGGAGGAAATGGCAACCCACTCTAGTATTCTTGCCTGGAGAACTCCATGGACAGAAGAGCCTGGCGGGCTACAGTCCATGGGGTCGAAAACAGTCTGAAAAGACTGAAGCGCAGAACACACCTAGAAGCTACTAACAGTTTCAAGATTCCTCCCCCACAGAACGCAATGAAATTCTTACAGAACTCAGATCCTGACCGTAGGGTCCCAAATTGTAAAACAGCTCCTGGAAGATTCTGCTAGACATTACTCAGCTGGTCAGTGAATTAACGTTTCTTTTTTCCCCCAGTTGAGTTTCTGAGTTTTTCACGCGTTAGTTTTTACCGTCCGTGGGAGTTTTATTCTTCCCCCCACTCTGCTTCGCCAAGAGGGAAGCCTGAGGTACCTCGCGGTTTCCTCAGCATAAGAACTCCTCCAAGGCAGCCCAGGTTCCAGTGCCATCCTATTCAAAATATTCCTGAGGCGCCCACTTCGCACCCGACTGGCCCCTGTCACACTGCCTCTAGACCTTTCCTCAGCGTTTTATTCAGCCTGCAGCCAAAAGCCACCTACCACCTCCGCGCGGAGTAAGGGGTGGGGGTGGGGTACTGCACTGCGCATGCACGTTTCCGAGCGCGCCCCCGCGCGCGCGCCTTCCGGCATGAATGGCTGTCAGGCGCGAGGGGGCGGGGGGAAAGCGTGAGAACACAAAACAGCTGCGGCGGTCGGCGGTGACGTAAAAAGGCAGCGCCACACTTCTGTGCGTACTACTTCCGCCGGAGGGAATACTACCCCTTCGAAGGCATGGTGCGCGGCAGTTATGTGTTGTTCAGAAAGGTCCGTGACTAGTACCCCCTCAGCCTGATGTGCGAGACCAGGTGCCTCTAACCCCACCTGAGGGTGCAGGTTTTTCACTTTCCTCCTTCCGCAGGTGTTTCTTCCTGGGGGCCTCTTTCTTGCTATTTTTCTTAGTCCTTTTCGCCTCTGGAGAACTCGGGCTTGGCCTGTGATGAGAAGGGCGTGATCACCGATCTTTGTTAGGAAGGTTGTTTGGAACAGGGTTTGGGATTTTCCAGGGGATAGTGTGCACGTGAGATGGAGGGCTGGGATACTTGCTTGCCGTTTAGGCACGCTATGTGGTATAGGTGGAGTGTAGGTTTGACTTTTGACTCAACTATGTATTTTCCTTCTTTTAAGTAGTAATATCCATAACTTGTTTTTACATATTTTTTCATTGAGTGCATTGTTATTACTAACTTTCTAAAGACGATTTTTATCGGTAAACCAAAATAGGTAACTGACTTGCCTTCTTGCGAGAAACTAAGAGTTTTGTGCAGTGTGGGTTTTAGAATCGTTTTTGTAAACAATTCGCAGATGCTTTCAGATTTAAAAACCACTCTGAGATCCTTACTAGCAGTGTTTTTTGAAACATCATAGTTTGATCATTATTACTAAGGACGAGATTGGGATATTCCTTTTAAGTTTGGGTTATAAATCTTTGAATCTGATAAATCTAGAGCAGTAAAAAAATGTCACATGTTGAAAGGAACTTTAAAAACAAGAGTTTTATTTTTGTCCGAGGAAAGGCATGATTAGTAAAAGTTGTGGTAAGTTTTACTTTATTCAGTTATTTTCCAGAAAATAGGTGGTCAGAAGAAGAGAGACTTGTGAAGCATAGTACTTGGGCATATAGGGTAACTAATCCTTAAGCAAAAAAAAAAAAGAACGACTACATTTTTTGCTGGTTATATTATTACAGGCTACTTGTGTAACTGCTGCCGTAGCAGTCACTGCCAGTCCATGTTTTTTTTTTGCAAGGGAAATCTACCTCTTCACTTATCTGTGATGCAATTCTGATCTAGCACTACTGAACCAAAGAGTAAGTTCTTAAGCTCTCAGAGAAAAATGCTCTGGCTTGCTCTTAAGTTCAGTTTTATATATTCCTTCCACCCTTACTATTACTGTTTCATGACTGTATTTCCATACTCAAATGAAAACCTGTTCTTTAAATCGTTGCTGTGTAACTTTCACTGCAATCTCAAGTGTAGACTGAGATTTACCAGTATCACCAAAGGAGCTTTTGATAAATGTGCTGGTTTACCCTAGTCTCATCCCCTTCTCCAAAGTATATCAGAATGGTCAGTGAAGTGTATGTATTTTTGAAAATAGTCCCCAGATGTTTTTGATACTTAAAACTATATACTAAATGACTAAAAGATGGGAAGACTATGAAATTAAGAAATTACTCTGTAAGGAATTTTAATAGTCCAGGTGGCTAAGACAGGATCTGACCAATAGGAAGTTTTTGATTTAGTGAGGGAAACAGAAATAAACCCTAGATGCAGTGTAGGATTTCTAGAAGCCTAATGGATTCATGGGGTCACAAAGAGTCGGACATGACTGAGCGACTGAACTGAACTGAATGGCAACCTACTCCAGTGTTCTTGCCTGGTGAATCCCATAGACAGAGGAGCCTGGTGGGCTATATATAGTTCAGAGGGTCACAAAGAGTCAGGCCTGAAATGACTGCACAATGTATATAATAATAGATATATAATTAAAATTACTGAGTGCCCAGCTAAGCCAGTGGTAAATATTAATTTGAGAAATTAAGAAATGCATCAGAAAATAGGACATTTGGATGGGTTTATGATGGAAAAGAAAAAATGACATTGTAAATAGATGAAACAGCATGAGCAGAATGTCAGAGAAGTGACATTGTGTAGTATAGAGTAAATAGGAGGAGGCTATAGGAGGGGTTGAGTGAATGGAAATGAAACTAGAAGGGTAGGTTAAGAGCTTTGACTGTAGCACAGAGAATTTTAGACTTTATTTTGTAAACAGAAAACCATGAATGGTTTTTGAGTAAGAGAGAAATATGTTTAGGGATCAGATCAATTTTCAGAAAAATGGCTCTGGCAGTGAGACAGAAAATGTATTGAGGAAGGAATGACTAGATGCTGAAAGACCAGTTAGGAGCTAATGTTAATGGTCAAGATACTAGGGCATGTGGTTGTGCCATAAAGGAAAAATAGTAGAGCTTCAGGGAGAGAAACAGGTATAAAGATTCCCATATGTAGCCTCAATGAGTAGAGAAGCTTTAGTTTCATTATTTGAGAAAACATTGGAGGAACAGAATTTACCTAGGGAAAAGTTTGTTTTTGTTTTACAACATGAAAGGTGACTGTTATCCTTTCAATACCTAAGATACACATTTGAGGGATTTCAAATATAAGATACAGATCTTGTTTCAGTTGCTTTAGACTATTAAGCTTACATCTGGTGGAGATGTCCAACTCATTGGAATAGAGAATATCTCACCTGGGTGATAGTTACTAATACAGACTGAGAAAGTATGGGGAGAAAGTCTGTTGAAAAGTGGGCCAATGTCAGACCTTCAGGTTAGGAAGGACAACAATTGATAATGAAAAACAGAGTTAATATGGGCAAGTGAGATCAGACAGGAGGTAGACTAAGCAAAAACAGTAAATGTGGCATATAGAAAAACCTTTTATATTTTTAGGAGTTTTAGTGGCATCAAAGAACTAGAAAGGAGTTCAAAATTGGTAAGCACTTACGGTATCAGTTCAGCTCAGTTCGGTCGCTCAGTCATGTCCAACCCATTTTGACCCCGTGGACTGAAGCACACCAGGCCTCCCTGTCCATTATCAACTCCCGAAATTTACTCAAATTCATGTCCATCGAGTTGGTGATGCCATCCAACCATCTCATCCTCTGTCGTCCCCTTCTTCCGGCTTCAATCTTGCCCAGTATCAGGGTCTTTTCAAATGAGTCAATTCTTCACGTTAGATGACCAAAGTATTGGAGCTTCAGCTTCAGCATCAGTCCTTCCAATGAATATTCAGGACTGATTTCCTTTAGGATGGACTGGTTGGATCTCCTTGCTGTCCAAGGGACTCTCAAGAGTCTGGTATACAAATGTTCTTTTTCTGTCTTTCTCTATTAGTATGGAAACTTCATTGATAACCTGAGACTCTTCACCAAGGGAGGAAGTGGTGGAATGGGCTACCCTCGCTTAGGTGGAGAAGGTGGAAAAGGTGGTGATGTCTGGGTTGTAGCCCATAACAAAATGACTTTAAAACAACTTAAGGATAAATATCCTCAGAAACGGTTTGTGGCTGGAGAAGGAGCAAATAGTCGGTAAGTATTTACTGAATGACTTGGTCTTTCCTTGTGGCTCAGATGGTAAAGCATCTGCCTACAGTTCGGGAGACCTGGGTTCAATCCCTGGGTTGGGAAGATCCACTGGAGAAGGAAATGGCAACCCACTCCAGTATTCTTGCCTGGAAAATCCCATGGATAGAGAAGCCTGGTAGGCTACAGTCCACGGGGTTGCAAAGAGTCGGACACGACTGAGCGACTTCACTTTCACTTTGATTTTATGAAATTAATTTTTCCCAGAAGAAGAGAAAGTTAAAAGATAAAAATTTATTTGAAATTTGAAGTAAATAATAGCCTGAATTTGTAACTGAGCAAAAATCTACAATTTTTGTCTGTATTTAAGATAAAAGATAGTATTAAGGTGGTTCTGAAATTTTTAAACTTTTGTCCTTTTCTTCCAGTGTTTATATTCTTTCACACTTCCATTATAGAAACAGAAAATGATCTGAATCTCCACTGTTTTCTTCTGAGATTATCTTTGACAGTCTTTTAGTAAACTCTCTAGAAAATGTGACTACTCCACCCGACTACAATGCTTAAGATTTAGAGACTGTTTGCTGCTACATCTCTTGAATGTTTTCCTTTTGTCTCTGTTATGATTTTCTCTCTGTGAAAGCAAGATCTTTCCTTTGTTTTTTGTTACTGTCTCTTATTTTCTGTGGGACATACTTTGTTTTTTGTTATTGTCTGTTATTTTCTGTGGGACATACTATGTTTTTAAAATATGAGGATTTTTTCTTTCATTGTAAAGAAAATGAAAAAAATTCTTAAACCTTCCATCAAAACGCAGACTATGATTCCTCAGGTCTGTATCATTCTGTTGTTATTCTTTACAAGGTGTTTGTATAAAGCTTAGGCTTTCTGTTCCTTTTTTCTTTTCCCTTCCCAAGCACGTGTTTGGGTGTGTGTATATATATGTATATATATTTATATTTTAAAATAATTTTATGTATTTATCTATGGCTGTGCTGGGCCTTGGTTGCTGCTTGGGCTTTTCTCTGGTTGCAGTGAGTGGGGGCTACTGCCTAGTTGAGGTGCACGGGCTTCTCATTGCAGTTGCTTGTCTTGTTGCAGAGCACGGGCTCTGGAATGTGTGGACTCAGTTGTGGTTCCCAGGCTCTAGAGCACAGGCTCAGTAGTTGTGGAGCATGGGCTCAGCTGCTCCGTGGCATGGGGAATCTTGCTGAATCAAGGATTGAACCCATGTCTCCTGCATTGGCAGGCAGATTCTTTACCACTGAGCCACCAGGGAAGCCCCTGTTTGGGTATATTTATTTGTCACAATTGTAGAGGATGGAATGTGGCACTTGCTTGGGGGATGGGTATAAGCAAAGTATAAGAGCCGGTATACAGGCTAAACACCCTGCAACACAGAGTGAGGAACTCCCCGCCACAACCACAACAGCAAATATTCCTGCCGCAAATATCCAGCAGCATCCTCTACTTGTAAAGAAGTCCTTGGAGAAACCCCTTAAATTTCTTTTGAGCAGTTTTGTTTTATGAATTGTCTTTATAGAGCAAATTTTGAGGTCCCAATATTAGAATTTAGTAATCACTTTAAAGATCAGAGTGGTGGTGTATGATTTTGATGTTACAGGTGGGAAATAACCTGCAGTTTACATCTTAAAGTAAAATTTTTCACCATTTTATAATTTCTCTTGAAAAGTAAGGTTGCTATAATTCCAAACTTACTCTGTTTAGATCAGTAGTGAGCTAAAGATGGTGTATAACATTAGATGTTAAGAAAGATTTAAAAGAAACATTTACTGTGCTTGTGTGTTGCAATTCTTAGAATGTAAAGGCTTAAATCTAAAAGATTAATAAGAGCCAACTGGATGAAGTGGAGGAAAAAGCATTACAGGAAAGCTAACAACATGAAAAATGTGAAAGACCTAGAGATAGAAGACAAATACCAACAGAAGACACTACAAGAAGGCCAGTGTGGCTGGGTATGCAGAAAACACAGAATGTAGTGGAAGATGAGACTAGAAGGATTCAGAGCTTTATCATTTCTAAAATCCTATGGTATTCTCCAGGTTGTCTCCTGTCTTCAGTCTCAGTCATCACCTCCAATCCATTCTTTATCCAATTGTCTCTCCAGTGCTTTTTCTATACCATCAAATTTATTAATGTGACTTGCCTATTTAAAATCCTTCCGTGTTCCCCATCCCTCTAAGATATATTCAGACTCTTTAACATAGCCTATCAGGCTCTTTGTGATCTGGCCTACAGTGCTTTCACCCTACTTCTACTATGCTTATGCTCAAAATAACTTATTTCACCAAATGCCTAGCTCCCTTCTAATTGTGTGTGTGTGTGTATTTTTTTCTTTCACTTTCCTGCCTTCATTTCCTGACAAAAATCTTCTGCCCCTTCCAAGTCTTGGTTCAAGCACCACTTCCAAAGTGTTAGTAACTGAATAAGATTTTAATTGCAGATATCTAATAATGTCTACTGAAAGACTGCTTTTGTTCGTCATGAAATCTCATCTCAGTAAATTGGTTTATGCTTGCTTAACTATGAAAATGATCAAATACCATTTCAGTTATTTTAAAAGCTGTTTATAAAATTATTTTGAAATTTAAGTGGCAAATGTTTTTAATAAAGTATCTTAATAGAATATTCACTAGCAGTAACAAATAGGAATGAAAAGTGGGTCTTGTCTTTACATTTAAAAATCACATCATAATCCCAGCAAGAGAGATGTTCTATTTAAATCTTTCTTTAATATATTTCAAATTCATTCATTTTTGTCATTCCAGTTCAATCAGTTAATGTTACTTGAGTGTCTACTTTGTGCCAGTAACTATACTGGATGTCTAGGATAAAATGATGATCTAAACTGTTGTGTTCCCTGCTGCCTTGGAACCTCACAGTAGTCTAGTATGAGAGCAAACATTTATCAAATAAATGAACAGTAGAAAATTATCACTGTGACAAGTGTTATGATTGAGAGCCTGCTCATGAATATGGGTATGGCAGTTCTGACCTAATCAGGGAAATTAAGAATAAATATATTTTTTAAAAGGTCAAGTACTTACAGTTCTTCTAACCAGAAATAACCATTATCAACCTTTTCATGACTTTTCTAAGACTTTCTATGTCTTTATGCAAATTAATTAACTCTGTATATAATATTTGGGGATATAAAAACAGGAACACAAAATTTAGTAACCTTTTCTTTTAACTTTTTTTCCCATCCCAGAAAATTGTTAAGAATGCCTGAATAGTCTGATAGTATTGGAAATAACATAAATTACTTTGTCATTCATCTATTTAATTATTGATTTTTTTTTTTTTTTTACTGTTACTGTCACAATGCAATACATGTCTTTGTGCATATAATAGTTCACATGGTTGTTCACTTATTTTTTTTTTTTTTTAGGATAAATTCCCAGAAGTGGAATTACTAGTTAGAAGTTTGTACCACTTTATCCTCTCTTGAGCAGTTTAAGAATAGCCATATGAGCCTCCTGTAATTAAAGTACTCTCATTTGAGGGGATTTTTAAAAAATACCTTGTTATTCATCAATGAATTTTTCACATTTACTTGTGTTGTTGCAATGGTCTCTTTCTTTCAAATATACATTAGTTTAGTTTATTATCAGTTAAAATGACTTTTGGTAGTTAGCTTGGTAATTTAAATCATCACTTAATATTTTTATTGAGATATAATAGCCTAAAATGCAAATAAATATTTTTTCTTCATGATTTGACCATTTAACATCTGCATTAGAAGAACTGGTTGCTAATCTTTGTATACCATTAAATTTGCTTGAAGCATCAGCCATTTAATCTGGCAGGTTTTCTTTGTGTTAATTTAACTTTTATTTTTTTGTAGAGTTAGTGCACTGAAAGGCTCCAAAGGAAAAGACTGTGAAATTCCTGTACCTGTGGGTGTTTCAGTGACTGATGAAAATGGTAAAGTTATAGGTAAGTGGACTGTAGCTTCTTAGGTTGTGCATGATGAAGCGGTGCTCTGCTTTGTTGTGTCCAGCTTTTTGCAGCCCCTTAGACTGCAGCCCGCCAGGCTCCTCTGTCCATGGAATTTCCCAGGCAAGAGTACTGGAGTGGGTTGCCATTTCCTTCTCCAGGGGATCTTCCCCACCCAAGGATCTAACCCAAGTCTCTTACATCTCCTGCACTGGCAAGCTGATTCTATATCATTGTACCACCTGGGAAGCCCATAAAATTGTGAGAAATGTGCACATTTTCAAATATTGAGAGCTGTAAGGAATAGCACCTCTCTAGTTTCAGGATTTTTTTTTTTTAAACATTAAGTATTTTAGTTGCTAGTTTGTAAAACAGCTTTTAAAATCATTATATAAAAGTTGTTCAGAATTAGCCACTAGATTTAAAATAATTTTAAAGACAAGAATATTTACTTGGTTTTGAAAAAAATAACTAGTCTTTTTCCATCCACTAGCAAAGGTGTTTTTCTAATAATAGAAACTTGATTCTGTTATTAAGTGCTTTAAATTTGTAAATTAGACTTTCCTGGCTTCTCTTTCTGAAAAAAGAGTGCCATTAGAGATTAGCTCCACTTATTAACCTTTGCTTCAAATATCTTCATCTCTCTTTTTAAGGAGAACTCAATAAAGAGAAAGACAGAATTTTGGTAGCTGAAGGAGGTCTTGGTGGTAAATTACTTACAAATTTCTTACCATTGAAAGGCCAGAAGCGAGTAATTCACCTTGATCTAAAACTTATAGCTGATATAGGCCTGGTGGGGTAAGTATCATTCATATTTTTATTTTTATACTTTCTGAGAGATACTTCATGAATAGGAAATAAATATAAATGGTAATGTGGGGGCTGCATTATTTCTTATTTGTGAAATTTGTGTGTTTGTGTACTTTAAGAATATGCTGCTAAATGTAGTAGTTTTCATATTGCCAACATAGAGAGTATCATAGTTACTATTCATTTGTCAAGTTCAGTTCAGTTGAGTCGCTCAGTTGTGTCTGTCTCTTTGCAACCCCATGGACTGCACACGCCAGTACTCCTTGTCCATCACCAACTCCCGGAGTTTACTCAAACTCATATCCATTGAGTCGGTGATGCCATCCGACCACCTCATCCTCTGTCGTTCCCTTCTCCTGCCTTCAGTCTTTCCCAGCATCGGGGTCTTTTCAGATGAGTCAGTTCTTCGCATCAGGTGGACAAAGTATTGGAGTTTCAGTTTCAACATCAGCCCTTCCAGTGAATATTCAGGACTGATTTCCTTTAGGATGGACTGGTTGAATCTCCTTGCTGTCCAAGGGATTCTCAAAAGTCTTCTCCAACACCACAGTTCAAAAGCATCAATTCTTCAGCACTCAGCTCTCTTTATAGTCCAACTCTCACATCCATACATGACCACTGGAAAAACCATAGCCTTGACTAGCCTTGCTGTCTAGGTTGGTCATAACTTTTCTTCCAAGTCATAACTTTTCTTCCAAGAAGTAAGCGTCTTTTAATTTCATGGCTATAGTCACTGTCTGCAGTGATTTTGGAGCCCCCCAAAATAAGGTCTCTCACTGTTTTCCCTGTTTCCCCATCTATTTGTCATGAAGTGATGGAACCAAATGCCATGATCTTAGTTTTCTGAATGTTGAGCTTTAAGCCAAGTTTTTCACTCTACTCTTTCACTTTCATCAAGAAGCTCTTTAGTTCTTCACTTTCTGCCATAAGGGTGGTGTCATCTGCATATCTGAAATTATTGATATTTCTCCCAGCAATCTTGATTCCAGCTTGTGTTTCATCCAGCCCAGCGTTTCTCATGATGTATTCTGCATGTAACTTAAATAAACAGGGTAACAATATACAGCCTTGACGTTCTCCTTTTCCTATTTGGAACCAGTCTGTTGTTCCATGTCCAGTTCTAACTGTTGGTTCCTGACGTGTATACAGATTTCTCAAGAGGCAGGTCAGGTGGTCTGGTATTCCCATCTCTTTCAGAATTTTCCAGAGTTTATTGTGATCCACACAGTCAAAGGTTTTAGCATAGTCAATAAAGCAGAAATAGATGTTTTTCTGGAACTGTCTTGCTTTTTCAATGATCCAGTGGATATTGGCAATTTGATCTCTGCTTCCTCTGCCTTTTCTAAAACCAGCTTGAATACCTGGAAGTTCACAGTTCACTGAAGTATTGCTGAAGCCTGGCTTGGAGAATCTTGAGCATTACTTTGCTAGCGTGTGAGATGAGTGCAATTGTGTGGTAGTTTGAGCATTCTTCGGGGTTGCCTTTCTTTGGGATTGGAATGAAAACTGACCTTTTCCAGTCCTGTGGCCACTGCTGCATTTTCCATATTTGCTGGCATATTGAGTGCAGCACTCTCACAGCATCATCTGTCAGGATTTGAAATAGCTCAAATGGAATTCCATCACCTCCACTAGCTTTGTTCATAGTGATGCTTTCTAAGGTCCACTTGACTTCACATTCCAGGATGTCTAGCTCTAGGTGAGTGATCACACCACCGTGATTGTCTGAGTTCTGAGGATCTTTTTTGTACAGTTCTTCTGTGTATTCTTGCCACCTCTTCTTAATATCTTCTGCTTCTGTTAGGTCCTTACCATTTCTGTCCTTTATTGTGGGCATCTTTGCATGAAATGCTCCCTTGGTGTATCTAATCTTCTTGACGAGATCTCTAGTCTTTTCCATTTTATTGTTTTCCTCTATTTCTTTACACTGATCACTGAGGAAGGCTTTCCTTTCTATCCTTGCTATTCTTTGGAACTCTGCATCCAAATGGGTATATCTTTCCTTTTCTCCTTTGTTTTTTGCTTCTCTTCTTTTCACAGCCATCTGTAAGGCCTCCTCAGACAACCATTTTGCTTTTTTGCATTTCTTTTTCTTGGGGATGGTCTTGATCACTGTCTCATGTACAGTGTCACGAATCTCTGTCCATAGTTCATCAGGCACTGTATCAGATCTAGTCCCTTAAATCTGTTTCTCACTTCCACTGTATAATCGTAAGGGATCTGATTTAGGTCATATCTGAATGTTCTAGTGGTTTCTCTTACTTTCTTCAATTTAAGTCTGAATTTGGCAATAAGGAATTCATGATCTGAGCCACAGTCAGCTCCCGGTTTTGTTTTTGCTGACTGTATAGAGCTTCTCCACCTTTGGCTGTAAAGAATATAATCAGTCTGATTTCAGTGTTGACTCTGGTGGTGTCCATGTGTAGAGTCTTCACTTGTGTTGTTGGAAGAGGGTGTTTGCTAGGACCACTGTGTTCTCTTGGCAAAACTTTATCAACCTTTGCCATGCTTCATTCTGTACTCCAAGGCCAAATTTGCCTGTTACTCCAGGTGTTTTCTTGGCTTTCTACATTTGCATTCCAGTCCACTATAATGAAAAGGAGATCTTTTTTGGGTGTTGGTTCTTGAAGGTCTTATAGGTCTTCAAAGAACCGATCAACTTCAGCTTCTTCAGTGTTACTGGTCAGGGTGTAGACTTAGATTACTGTGATATTGAATGGTTTGCCTTGGAAACGAACAGAGATCATTCTGTCGTTTTTGAGATCGCATCCAGGTACTGCATTCTGGACCCTTTTGTTTACTATGATGGCTACTCCATTTCTTCTAAGGGATTCCTGCCCACAGTAGTAGATATAATGGTCATCTCAGTTAAATTCACCCATTCCAGTCCATTTTAGTTTGCTGGTTCCTAAAATGTCGACGTTCACTCTTGCCATCTCCTGTTTGACCACTTCCAATTAACCTTGATTCATGGACCTAACATTCCAGGTTTCTATGCAGTATTTCTCTTTACAACATCGGACCTTGCTTCCATTACCAGTCACATCCACAACTGGGTGTTGTTTTTGCTTTAGCTCCATCTCTTCATTCTTTCTGGAGTTCTTTCTCCACTGGTCTCCAGTGAAGTCACTCAGTCGTGTTCGACTCCGCGACCCCATGGACTGTAGTCTGCCAGGCTCCTCAGTCCATGGAATTCTCCAGGCAAGAGGACTGAAGTGGGTTGCCATTTCCTTCTCCAGGGGATCTTCCTGACCCAAGGATTGAACCTGGGTCTCCTGCATTGGCAGGCAGACGCTTTACCATCTGAGCCACCAGGGGAGCCCAAGGGGCTTCCCAGGTGGTGCTAGTGATAAAGAACCTGCCTGCCAATGCAGGAGATAAAAGAGACACGGGTTCAATCCCTGCATTGGGAAGATCACCTGGAGAAGGAAATGGCAACCCACTCCAGTACTCTTGCCTGGAGAATCCCATGCCAGAGGAGCCTGGCTGGCTGCAGTCCAAGGGGTCACAAAGAGTCAGATATGACTGAGCGACTTAGCACTAGCATTATTCTCCAGTAGCATATTGGGTACCTACTGACCTGGGGAGTTCATCTTTCAGTGTCCTATCTTTTTGCAGAAAAATCAGTCAAATGCAGTAGTATAAGAGGGTAAAAGAATGTTACCAGATATTAGGAATGAAATTAAAAACCCAAACAAACCACATCTTAAAAAGTATGTAGAAATAAAGAGTAGGGGGAAAATGACTAAGATATTCTTACAAGTTTTAATAGAGGTATTGAAGTATCATCAGTCAGATGGCTAAAGACTGGTCCAGTTGATCTCAGCCATTAGCTTTACACACTGTTGAGCACCATGTTGGATCTTGTAATGACCAGTCCCCTGTCCTTCACTCTGTTTAGGAACTGTCCGTTCTCAGCACTGCAGATCTTACAGTGTTTTTCTCTTTCATCAGCCTCCACCTTCATCAAACAGTGCTATTTAGGTGTAGGGTTTGTGGTGCTGGCACCAGCTGGCGGGAGATAGATAGCAAGGTAGAAGGCAGATAAAGGAAGGGAAATGCTCAGCTTTGCTGGCATCAGCTGGAGGGAGATAGGTAGCAAGGTAGAAGGTAGATAAAGGAAGGGAAATGCTCAGCTTTGCATGTTTCCTCTCCCTCTGTCTTCCCCTCCCAAGCTCCACTGCAGCAGTCCACAACAGTCAGATGAAGACCTAAGGAGAAGGGAGCAGAAACTGCTGCTCTACTCCAACTGCCACTTCCATTCCTTGCCTTCCCGTAGTTTCTCACCTCTTTTCATCTTCCTCTTCTCACATCTCACTGCTTCTTTGTCACACTCTTCACTCTGAACTCCTCACCTCTTTCCATGCCTGTCTAAATCTTACCAGCAGGGGCTTAGGGTTCACAGAGGCCTCATACCTGCTGAAGTTGTAACAGAGAAAGATGACATCTTGGCATTAAAGCTTGCTATTCACATTTAATTTTTTCAATAAAACATAGTTATGAGGGTAACGAGTCATCGGTTCTGTAATACTATTGGGTTGGGCAAAAAGTTTGTTTGGGTTTTTCCATAAGATGTTGTGTTGTGAAAGAGCTTTTTGGCCAACCCAATGTACATTTTTAGGAACTTTATGGACTGGATAGGATTTTGTGGATAAGACTGAGAATCCAGCCATTCACTTTCTCATTTTCTGGAAAAATATGTTTCTGTTTCCATAGAGATACCCTTACAGCCTAAGAAGAACATACCAAGGTTGAGTAGTGAATAAAAGTGGGATGGTGATGGGAGACTCAAGTGAGACTGTGTTAGAATCTCAAATCTTCTGAAGGCCGGCTGGATGGTCTTGAATACAGTATCTCTAAGCCTTTGTTTTCTCTTTAATAGAGGATGGCAATAGTCCTGCCTTAAAAATGTTATTGCTGAGTAAGATTGCATTTGCAGCATAACAGATGTCTTGGATTTGTGAATGCTCAGTGAGTGAGTGGTAGCTGCTATCATTACCATTACCATCATCATATATTGTAACTTATTAGAGACCACATATAGTGAAATAAGGAAGCGTTTCAGAAGTGGACTTCAGATTAGTTAATATCAAGCATCATGATTCTAGAGCACAATGTTTTAACATGTATGCTAGTGCTTTTAATTAGGTAACTATTCTTAAAAAGTTACATAATGTGAATACCAGCATAAGCAGATATCCCTTAACCTTTGAGCCAGCTTCAGGAATGAACTGAGCCTGGAAAGCAAGTTATCATATAACTAGTATACTTGTACTGCTGTGGTTAAATCTGATCTTTGCATGGGTTGGACCTCAGACTGTAAAATCTTCATTAGGTAACTTTCAAGAAAAATCTGTGATTGGTTCTTCAATCATTAGCTTCCTTTTTCTTCTTATATTTTGATCTCTTTGAAAATAGTTGCATATTTCTCTGCTTAATATTGTTATGAAAATATGGGGATATTAGAATTAAGCAAGTCCAGCTAGTGACAGTCATGGCAAAACTGATTGCAATTTGCTTTACAAAAAGTTACAAGAGCCTAGGTATAATAAGATATAAGAAAATACTGTTTTTCCAGGGGAAATGAGTCAAGCAATCTCGTGTAATTTTATTCTAAATTTATTATAGAAATATTTTAATAAGATTGTTTAAAGAACTTCATTAACAGCTTAAAGTTTTTTATAGAATTCCAAGTTAATATTCGTAGAATATTACACTATTACTCCAAATGAAAATTTGGCAGTTTTGAGAAAAGATCATGATTTGAATGAAAGCTGTGAAGACAGGGATAACATTTTTCCTGTTGGTTACTGTATTTGTCATGCCTAGTATATTGCCTAACCAAAGTCAATGCTCAGTATTTGTTGGATGATTTTCTAAATTGAGATACACTTGACATATAACGTTAGTTTCAGGTGTACAGTGTAATGATTTGGTATTTGTATATGTTGGTCACCACCATAAGTCTAGTTAGCATCTGTCACCACATGTAGTTAAAAAAATTTTTTTTCTTGTGATGAGAATTTTAAAAATTTACTCTCTTAGCAACTTTTAAATAGTACTGATTATTAATTATAATCACCATGCTGTACATTATATCTCCATGACTTACTTATTTTACAACTGGATTTTTTTTTTTTGGCTGTGCCACACAGCTTGCAGGATCATAGTTTCCCAACCAGGGACTGAACCCAGGCCCTTGGCATTGAAAAGCACAGAGTTCTAACCACGGGATGACCAGGGAATTCCCTACAATTGGATTCTTTACTTTTTCACACCCTTTACCTGTCTTATACCCTCCTTCCCCTACACACATTTTCTGTATGCTTTCATCCGTTAATGGACACCTTGGATTGTATTCACATATTGGTTATTATAAATAGTGCTGCAGTGAACATAGGGGTGTGTATATCTTTTCAAGTTAGTGTTTTGGGATTTTTTTGATAAATATCCAGAAGTGAAATTGCTGGATCATATGGTAGTTCTGTTTTTAATTTTTTAAGGAACCTCCATACTGTTTTTCGTAGTGACTGTACAATTTACATTCCCATTGGTTGAATTAATTTAATGAAAATATCTGAATGATTTTAGGAAATTACCTTTTAAGTGGCCCCCATTCTTAGTACTTTCTTTCATCCATTGGGGGCTTTTCTTGAGGGATATTCAGCAATAAAATAAAAACCTTTAAAACAGCCAGTTATTTTAATGTAATATTTCTTTTTCTAGAAATTTACCTCAAGGAATAAAAGTATATGTAAAGGTTCAAGGATATTCACATCAGTGTTTAAATTCTTTTTTAAAAAAAGTTTGACAAGAAATCAGTGCTCATTTGCAGAAACAAAAAAAGAGATGTCTATTAATTGTACCACTTAATGTTAAGGTGACTTAATGTTGCTGTATTTCTTTCTAGCTCTATGCACATTTTTTGTAATGTCATTTATAACAGTAAAAAAAATTTGAGACCACCTAAATGCCTAATAATAAGAAATTAGGTAAGTAAATTACAGTATACCCTTGAAATGCATTCACCTTATATAATTCAGTTTAAAAAGGAGGCCAACCAACTATAAGTAGCCTTTTAGTGAAAAAAGGAATCAAAGCTGAATCTAATCAGATATCTACCAATTTATAGGAATATGTTAAAGGGCATCATGTGTGTCAGCAGAAAAAAACAGACTGGAAAAGAAACTACAGGACAAATGACCCAGTTTCTTTAAAAATAAAATTGCAAAGGGGAGACAAGTTTGAAAGGGAGCCTGTACTAAGAGAAATTTAAAAGATACGTCAACCAGTTGTAATACTGAGACCTTATTTAGGTTTTTATTTAAATAAACCAACTTTAAAAAAGTTATTAAGAATGTATTAATATTTGTTGAAGCTAGATGATAGCTAAATCAGGTTCATTACTTTGCTAGTGAAATGTCCATATGAAATGGTTTTTAAAAAAAAATCCACAAAACAATATAAGAGATATTTTGTCAGTGTTGGCTAGAGATAGTGAGTTGAAGGTATTTTTATTAATTTCTTTTTGTTTTTCTACAGGTTTTTTTTTTTTTTAACGTTACTTGATTGTCAGTAGAGAAACATCTTCAGTGTTCACCATAAATTTATCTTTACCTTTTTTATATTTTGTTCCTCAAGTTTTTCATGATTATAAATTTATATTCTTTTAATTCTAGCAATATTCAAGAAGTCTGTTTTTTTAAATGTTAGGAATTCAGAGATAAGTATTAAAAATGCTGTTATTTTTTGTGATGTATTAATATGAATTTATTTTCTTGTTTCAGATTCCCAAATGCTGGAAAATCCTCTTTGCTAAGTAAGATTTCTCATGCAAAACCTGCAATTGCAGATTATGCATGTAAGTACAATTTTGTTAGTGTGTGGAGGTATATTTTAAAGACTAATTTTTTTTTCGAGTATGAATAAAATATAAATGGGGTAGCCCTAGTTTGAAAATTCTTGGCAGACAGAATATATGGATTTCCCATTAATCTTTGAAACCTCTATAGCTCTCAGCAAAGTTCCTAGTACTTCTTAGATACTTTGTCACATTTATTTCTCTGTTGCATAATCATTTGTTTGGTTTAGTTATTATTTTATGAGTACCTACCCTTTATCAAACACTGATAAATGCTAGGAAGGCAGAGATCAGATCTTTTATTCATTAAGCAAGTATTTATTTCCGGGAACTACAATAAGTTCTGGAGTTATAAAGATTGGTAAACAGAAGTGAATACTGTTACTAATGAATATAAGAGGGTATAATACAGTTTTTTGAAAGAGTGTAGGTGACTGCTTTAGATTTCTTTGGGGAAGTGTGATGGTGGGGCTGAGATATGAACAGTAAATATGAGTTAACTGGTGACAGACAATGGAGGTCAGAGTCTTTTTAGTTAAAGGAAATAGTGTACACACAGGCTTCATGGTGGCAGGGCATAGATTTGTTTGTCTAAAGAACATGTTGTAAGGGGATGAAGGAATCAAGCTGAGGCTAGAGATGGAGGTGGAGATCTATGATATAGGCCATATAGGCTGTATTTGATCTTTATAGCTTTAGAAGAGGTTATAGCTTTTTAACAAAGGATAAAAATGATTAATTTGCTTTTCAAAAATATCTCTTTGCATATAATGTACAAAATGGATTAATGTGGGACATAAGTGGATCTGGAAAGAACTTAGTAGAACTAGCTATTGCAATAGCAGATAAGGTATAATGGAAACTTAGACTAAAAGTAGTGAATGAATGTGCTTCCTGGGTGACTCAGTTGTAAAGAATCTGCCTGCAATGCACAGGCCTTAAGAGAAGCGGGTTCGATCCCTGTGTCAGGAAGATCTCTTGGAGGCAGGCATGGCAACCCACTCCAGTATTCTTGCCTGGAGAGTCCCACAGACAGGAGCCTGGTGGACTATAGTCCATAGCATCGCAAAGAGTTGGACACGACTAAAGTGACTTAGCAAGCAAGTGAATGAATATAAGAGGATCTCTACCTTCTTTAAACAAAATGGCACAGAATGACATTAACATGGAAAGTGAAAGTGAAAGTCGCTCAGTCGTGTCCGACTCTTTGCAACCTGATGGAGTATACAGTCCATGGAATTTTCCAGGCCAGAACACTGGAGTGGGTATCCTTTCCCTTCTCCAGGGGATCTTCCTAACCCAGGGCTCCCGCTTCGCAGGAAGATTCTTTACAGCTGAGCCACAAGGGAAGCCCAAGAATACTGGAGTGGGTAGCCTATCCCTTCTCCAATGGATCTTCCCAACACAGGAATCAAACCGGGGTCTCCTGCATTGAAGGCAGATTCTTTACCAGCTGAGCTATCAGGGAAACTATTGAAAATAAAATCATGGAAAATAAAATCAAACAATTCTAGGATTAGACTCTGATAAAGTAGAGTTAATTTTGTACTAACTGCTATAAATCTCTTGGCCAGTATTTATTGTTATAAAATAGGGGATCTTTGAGAAGGAAAGAAGAAAAGTAAAAAGTCGTAGAAGGAGGCTGCTGTTGGATTGATGAAGTTTGAGGATAACAGAATGAGAAAGGACCAATAGATTTCAGATGTAATCCAAATGACAGAAACCTAAATTCTGTCCCCTGCCCTCAACCCTTTGCCATGCTCTTAAGGTTTGAGAGGGACTTTGAGGCCCACTAATTAGATTAGGCCTATGCTTTTGCAGATTATAAAAATCTATATTTGTCCTTTTCCAAAATAATTATACCTTTAATTTCAATGAATGAGAACATAATCTGAATTAGGTTGTTCACAGAAGGGAAATATTATTTATTTTATACCTAACACTAGGATAGTTTTGAGAGTACAATGCTTTATTCTAGCTTTAATTTACTTTTTTTTTTTTTTTTTAGTTACAACAATAAAGCCTGAACTTGGAAAAATTATGTATAGTGATTTCAAACAGGTGGGTATTTTTTTTTAACTTTTATTCTTTTAAAAATATTTATTTATTTATTTGGCTGCTCTGGCATCCTTAGTTGCAGAATATGGGAATTTTTTTCCCCGACCAAGGGTTGAACCGGGGCCCCCTGCATTGGGAGTGCAGAGTCTTAATCACTGGACCACCAGAGAAGTCCCGTAGGTGGCTATTTTTAAAATAAGACTCTCGATTAGAAATGAAAGTACTTGCCTTGTTGCTTAGACTTATAATATTCGACAGTTTCTGTAGTATTGGAAAAAGTAGCAGGATTTTGGTTTTGGTAATTGAAGTCATGATCAAATCAATTCTGCTGAGCACTATCAGTAAAATATTGTATAAGAATAATTCTTCCAAAGTTTGGATACAGTTTGTAATTATAACATTGATTGTATCTTAGTCTCCTTGATCTGTTTGTTCTCATTGCAATTCCATATTTTATTGCCATACTTGATTATTGATTTTCATTTCCTAAAAACATATTCTAAAGTTCATGGATGTAATTTTATCCCACTTTACTGTTTAAAAAAATTTTTTTTAATTGAATGGGATTTGGGTCTTAGCTAGCTATTAAAATTTATTTTTCCTTGGTAAGGAAGAACTCTATTTTTTTTTGAGTAATTAGAGTAAAAACAAAAAATGGAAAATAATAAAAATTTAAAACTATGTAATGTATGATCAGCAGTTGCATTCCTTAGTGTTTACCCAGACAATTTAAAACGTAGGCCCACTCAGAAGCCCACACACAGATGTTTACAGCTGCTTTGTTCATAATTGCCAAAACTTGGAGGCAACCAAGATGTCCTTCAGTAGATGAATGGATAAATAAGCTGTGTTCATATTGAAAATTGAATGTCATTCAACACTAAAAAATAAATAATCAAGCCATGAAAGGACACAGAGGAACTTCCAGTGCTTATTACTAAGTGAAAGAAGCCAGTCTGTAAAAGCTAAATCCTGTATGATTTCAACTATATGATGTTCTGGAAAAAAGGCAAAACTGTGGAAATAGAGAAGATCAGTGGTTACCAAGGATTAGGAGGAAAGAAAGGTTGAATAGGTAGAAAGGTTGAATAGGCAGCATACAGAGGGTTTTTAAGGGCAGTGAAACTATTCTGTATGATATTGTAATGGTAGATACATGTCATAAATTTGTCAAAACCCATAGAATGTGTAAAACCTAGATGATGAACCCTAATGTAAAATATGGACTTGAAATGATGGTGTATCAGTGTAGTTTCATATAATCCAATGACATAATTCAAAAGATATCAAAGATGTATATTCATTAATAATAGTAGTATAACAGTAAAAAAATTTTTTTAAGCTTTAACAATTACATAGAAGATTAAATAATAAGTAAAATTATAAGTGCAGGATAATAGGAATTTAGAAAACATTATTGGTAATTTAAGGGAAATCAATGAAAAAACCTCTGAAGAAAATTTCAGAACATGAGACCTCTATATGTACTTTGCTTTATCACATAGCTACAACTTTCTTTAAAACTGAAAATTTTAACCACACAAGCAGTGTGTGTAGAGCAGTGTTTTTCATCCCTTACTGTACATCAGAATCATCTGACTAGCCTAAGAACAACAATGTTAAATCCAGCTTGGGCCGCAGTGATTTGAAACCAAATCCCTGGGGATAGGGCTTGAGGATCTGTAGTTTATAGCAATTCCTTAGATGATTATGATGTGCGGTGAAGTTTGAAAACCACAAGTGTTGAATAATGGTTAATGACTCTAATAATGGTTAATAGTCCTAAATAGAGTATAGGGACACTGTTTCCTTTACTTTTTAAGAATGGTTAAATCCTAGTAGAATATGAACAGTAAAGGACCAGTGGTACCAAACAGCCATTTACATACAGAATAAAACACTTTACAGTGCTTACATCCTAAGTCAATGGCTGCTGAATTAATATCCTTGTTTACTTTTAAGAATTTAAAAGTTTGAAATTCTTTGAAAAGTTCATATTGAACAGTATAATTTATGGAATTCTAAAGAGAATTTATATTAATAAATGTTAAGCTAAGCCCTAGAATTCTTAGATTGTTAAAGTAAAAGTGGGACTCTAATTTCTGATAGCAAAGGATTTTGTTTCTTAATACACTTATTTTGTTATCAAAGTATCTTGGCTTTATTAGAGATACAGTAATTCAGTGGTAATCACAAATTAGAAACTTTATAATTGAAATATGAAAATTGTTGGATGTAATTAGTTTTCATTTTTTAATATTAAACCATTTAATTTTGTATTAGATATCTGTAGCTGATCTTCCTGGTTTAATAGAAGGAGCACATATGAACAAAGGAATGGGCCACAAATTCCTCAAGCATATAGAAAGAACTAAACAACTGCTTTTTGTTGTAAGTCATATGCCTATCAATGTAATGCTTAAAAGAATGTGAGAATCAATGAATTTAGTTTTCCTAGACATTTTTATAATAAAATTTAAAGAAAGAGTAGTAGCATATATTAATCCACTAAATCTGTTTAGATAGGAGTCAGATTTATTTATAATATGGGGATGGAAATGGAAATGGCAACATTTACTGTATCAGATGAAAGTTTGGCCATATTTATCAGGTTTAATTCCTTAGGATTTTCTATGTACTACTAAATTACACAGCATTACTTTCCTATTTCATGAGATTATCTTTATTAGTATAAGTTGTTTTATCTGTACTAGTTTCTCATTAATGATTGTGATATTATAAGAATAATTACAGTGATCTTAAAATATCAATTTCTCTCATTTCAAATTACTAAATTACCAAAAGAATATAGATTGAGAAATTATTTATAGCTTGAAAGAATGAAACTATTCAAAACAGAATTGTATAGCTGTCGTTCTTTCATTAAAGGCAATCTTTTTCCCTTTTCTTTTTTCAGGTTGATATTTCTGGATTTCAGCTTTCTTCCCAAACTCATTACAGAACTGCTTTTGAAACCATAATACTGCTTTCAAAAGTAGGTTTTTCTATCTGGTCTAGTATGTAGGGACATAGGACTGTATGAAATAACATATGATAATTAGAATAAATACATGTTCTAGCTCTACTTTTTCAAACTTTGGTGGCAGTTAAAGAATAATCTAAACTTGCTGTCTCCAGTTCCTTGATATTCATCCATTTCTCAAACTGTTGTAATCAATAAAACCTTCCTTGATTCCAAATCCCTATTATATAAATTCTTAGACTGACTCTTGCTTAACTTAATTCCTATTTCTTAGACTATTTCCCAGTCTACTTTTTAGGTACTCTGATACCCAGATAGTTTGGTTGTACTTTAGATTAGCTGCCTATTATATATCTTTGATTAGATGTCCCATTAACTTCTCAAATTTAATATGTGTAGAACTGAACTTGGGCTTCCCTGGTCGCTCAGTGGTAAAGAATTCGCCTGCAAGGCAGGAGACCCAGGTTCAATCCCTGGGTCGGGAAGATCCCCTGGAGGAGGCCATGGTTACACACTCCAGTGTTCTTGTCTGGAGAATCCTATGGGCAGAGGAGCCTGGTGGCTAACTAACTGTGGAGTCTCAAAGATTCGGACGTGACAAGTGGCTGAGCACGTACACAGAACTGAACTTTTTAAAAAAATTTTCCAGCCTCCCTCAGAACATTATTGAATATGTCAGCCAGAAACCTGGGTAGTAATGATTCTGACTTTCTCACCACCTGTATCAGACCCTGTCAGTTTTATGCCCTAAATTTCTCTGAAATGCAGCTATTTGTCTTCACCCGCACTGTTGTAATCGTCAGCCCCTCTTACTATCTGGTCTCCCTGCTCAGTCTCACTTCTTTTCAGGCCATGTTTTGTAGGCAGCTAGAGTGATCTTTGTTAAAGAGCCAAGCAGATGTTTGTTCCCTGCTCTGATGGCCCCCCATAGCAGTGGGTTAGGTTAAAGTCTAACCTGAACATGGTAGATGAGGCAGAGTTGGGTTCCTCCCAGGCATGTGTCTCTATTGTTCCTGCACCCTCTCCCGCTTCCCCCAAGCAACACCCTGTACATTCTCTATCCAGCCTATGATTTCTCTCTAATGTAACATGATATCTTTACCTTAATGACTTTTATATCCTATTTCCTAGCTATGTTTTCGCCTATTATTGATAATGCTGTGAACATTTGTGTACAGGTTTTTGTGTGGGTATGTTTTCCTTTCTCTTGGGTATATATGTATATCTAGGGGCGAAATTACTGGATAATAAGGTAAATCTAACATTTTGAGGAACTGCCAAACTATTCTCCAAAGTGACTGCAGCACTGAATTACTTCAGTGTATGAAGGTTCCAACTTTTCCACATTAATGTCAACATTCATTATTACCTTTTTTACTTTGACTTTCCTAGTAGGAATGAAGTAGTATTTCATTGTGGTTATGATTTGCATTTCTCTTGTGGCTAATGGTGTTGAGCATCTTTTTATGTGCTTATTAGCCATTTGTATGTATTTGGAGAAGTGTCTATTCAGATTGCTTGCCCATTTTTAAATTGAGCTATCTTTTAATTGTTGAGTTGTAAGAATTTTTTATAATTTAGATACAAGTCCTTTATTGGTTATATGATTTGCAAATATTTTCTCCTATTCTTTCAGTTGTCTTTTAACTTTCTTTCAGTTGCCTTTTGAAGCATGGAATTTAAAACTGATGGAGTCCCCTTTGTCTATTCTTTCTTTTATTCCTACTTTTAGTGTCAGATATAAGAAGCCACTACCTAATCCATGGTCACAAAGATTTACTTCTAAGCATACTTACTTTTTCCAAGAATAATGCAGGCATAGGATTAATTGTTGTTATTTAGTTCTGGATTTTATCTATGTGCTTAATAGAAATCCAATATCTGTATTTGTCTCTAGGCACAAAATCACTTACTGATTTCAGAGGTGTGAATGGGCCCTAGAATACCCAGGCCTATAAAGTATAGAAAGACATTACCAGGGAGCGGGGATCGGGATGGGGAACATATGTAAATCCATGGCTGATTCATGTCAATGTATGGCAAAAACCACTACAATATTGTAAAGTAAGTAGCCTCCAACTAATAAAAATGAATGAAAAAAAAAAGACATTACCAAATAGGTCATTTATATAGATATTTTAATACAGTTATTTGGTTTCTCTCTTTTGATTTAAAGGAGTTAGAGTTGTACAAAGAGGAACTTCAGACAAAACCTGCACTCCTAGCAGTAAATAAAATGGACTTGCCAGATGCACAGGATAAATTCCATGTACTGATGAACCAACTCCAGAATCCTAAAGGTAAACCTGTTCATTCATTTAGTGCCAGTTTAATGAATATCTGTTTCTGCTTTATTGACTATGCCAAAGCCTTTGACTATGTGGATCACAATAAACTCTGGAAAATTCTGAAAGAGATGGGAATACCAGACCACCTGACCTGCCTCTTGAGAAATCTATATGCAGGTCAGGAAGCAACAGTTAGAACTGGACATGGAACAACAGACTGGTTCCAAATAGGAAAAGGAGTACGTCAAGTCTGTATATTGTCACCCTGCTTATTTAACTTATATGCAGAGTACATCATGAGAAATGCTGGGCTGGAGGAAACACAAGCTGGAATCAAGATTGCTGGGAGAAATATCAATAACCTCAGATATGTGGATGACACCACCCTTATGGCAGAAAGTGAAGAAGAACTAAAGAGCCTCTTGATGAAAGTGAAAGAAGGGAGTGAAAAAGTTGGCTTAAAGCTCAACATTCAGAAAATTAAGATCATGGCGTCCTGTCCCATTACTTCATGGGAAATAGATGGGGAAACAGTGGCTGACTTTATTTTTGGGGGCTCCAAAATCACTGCAGGTGCTGATTGCAGTCATGAAATTAAAAGACGCTTACTCCTTGGAAGGAAAGTTATGACCCACCTAGACAGCATATTAAAAAACAGAGACATTACTTTGCCAACAAAGGTCCGTCTAGTCAAGGCTATGGTTTTTCCAGTGGTCATGTATGGATGTGAGAGTTGGACTATAAAGAAAGCTGAGCACCAAAGAATTGATGCTTTTGAACTGTGGTGTTGGAGAAGACTCTTGAGAGTCCCTTGGACTGCAAGGACATCCAACCAGTCCATCCTAAAGGAGATTAGTCCTGGGTGTTCATTGGAAGGAATGATGCTGAAGCTGAAACTCCAATACTTTGTCCACTTGATGTGAAGAGCTGACTCATTTGAAAAGACCCTGATGCTGGGAAAGATTGAGGGCAGGAGGAGAAGGGGACGACAGAGGATGAGATGTTTGGATGGCATCACCGACTCAATGGATTATGAGTTTGGGAAAAGTTTGGGAGTTGATGATGGACAGGGAGGCCTGGCGTGCTGCGGTTCACAGGATCGCAAAGAGTCGGACAATGACTGAGCAACTGAACTGAACTGAACTAATGAATACCTACTATTTGCAGAGACTTTGGTGTACTATAATCAGTGGGGAAAAAAATGAAACCTGTTCCTCTTAAAAAAAAAAGTGTGAAGAAAGAACACATACCATATGAAACTTAAATGTCATATGCACAATGTGTTATAAGACATAGAAGGGAAGAAAGATTAATTTGAGCTGAAAAGTTCAGGCATCATCAAGAAGTAAAACTTAAACTGGGCTCTTAAAGAGTTAATGGGATTTGGTTCAGAAGAGGAAAAGGTCAGCATATACCTATGAAATCTTTTAACTTATTTCACAAGTTCTAAAATTTCATTCCCCTAGTACATCATGAATTTAAAAACAGGGCTAGTAGTTCTAAAGAGATACGTATCTTTGCAGTGCCAGGTCTATAGATCTCTAGAGAGTATTAATCTTCTAAAAGGAACTTGAGTTGTTTGTATGTGTGGCACAGAATAATAGATGCTGTTACTTCTAAAGGATTTGTGTGAAATTGGTCCCTAAATGGACCACTTTGTATAAAGGAATTTAAAGGGATTCTCCATAGTTTTGAATATTGACCTTTGCCAAACACACTCTACTGTATAGAGATGATGCTTTTATTTTTCTGAGTCTAGTAGAGGACCTTTTGCACAAATGAGAAAAGTAGGATGGAAGGTAAGTGGTTAACATGTGTTTTAAATAGACTTAACCTGTTTTTATCCTTGAGATAAAAATTGAGGAAAATAAATTAAAATGTACCAGGACTATCAGACAGCACCGGAAGATCCTCTCTCTTCTCCTAAAAATCCTTATGTATATATTGGGCCTGCCCTTGAGTTAATAAGTTACTTTGGGGGTATAAATATTCCTCAAAATATTTATAAATAATAAAGTGTTTATTCCTTTATGTCATTTGTTTTATGAGGTCATTAGATCTGTGTGCTGGTTGATCTTGCAGAAAAGGGAATTTTTAGAAGAGGTACCAGAGAGGGGGGTAACTCAGGAGTTTGTGGCTATTTTGGCCTATAATAAAAACTACATAGTCACCTCAGTGATAATTTCCAAATTAGCCTCTCTTTTCCTTGGGGCTAAATGAATCCCAGAAACCAAGCTTTGTATTGATTTGGTTAATCTCTTTTAGCCAGCCTTTCCAGGTGATATCAGTGTTGATCCATCCCATCAGTATGCCATCCTCCCTTCTGTTGCCTTGGTAGCAGAGAAGAAGCAAAAGTTACCTAACGGTTGTCAGCCCTAGTGGGGTGAAATATTGGATTCATCTAAAATGATCTCTCCTTGAATTGTTCTCAATTTTAGTATGGCTCCTAGTACCAATGATGATACGTCTCTAAATTTGGACAGTTAAAGGCCACCTGTGTGCTGAAGCAAACTAGAATATCCCAAGTCACAAGTGATTTTATTTTTATAGAAAAGCTTTCAGAGAGTCTGTGTTGCCTTATGTTATTGAACTGCCCCAAAACAAAATTTATTGCTTCTGTAAGTAAATCATCTTGTGTGATTTATCTTTTGATTGGAAGGTTGTGTGCTCAGTCGTGTCCAGTTCTTTGTAATCCCATGGACCATAATCCGCCAGACTCCTCTGTCCATAGAATTTTTCCAGGCAAGAATACTAGAGTAGGTTGCCATTTCCTACTTCAGGGAGTCTTCCTAACTCAGGGATTGAATTCAGGTCTCCTGCCTCTCCTGCATTGGCAGGCAAATTTTTTACCACTGTTTACCATTACTTGGGAACTTATACTTCATTCAGTTTAAAATATATTCATGTAACAAATATTTACTGAGCACCACTCACGTGCCAAGAACCTTTCCATTGTCATTAGTAAAAGCCAAAGGTGCTGAGAGCTTATTAGAGAAGGAAAAAAGAAAAACTGCTAAGTTTTTGGTTCACAAATGAAACCTCTAGCATAGTTGACTTATTTTCAAAGACAATGAAAATCAGCTTCTATTTGTGTTGTTTCAGAATTTTTGCATTTATTTGAAAAAAGCATGATTCCAGAGAGGACTGTGGAATTCCAACAAATCATCCCCATCTCTGCAATTACTGGAGAAGGAATTGATGAACTAAAGAACTGTATAAGGAAATCTCTGGATGAACATGCCAACCAGGAAAATGATGCATATCATAAGAAGCAGTTGCTTAATCTACATATTTCCAATACAATATCTTTAAGTGAACCACCATCAAAGAATGCTGTTTCGAGTCCTAGAATGGATATAACTTAAATGTATTAAAAGTGATACTGAAATTGTGTTCATTTGAAAGCTCTTTGACAAACATTTTTTAGAATGTTGGTTGTTACGTATATTATCTAGGGTGAAACAGATCACCAGCCCAGGTTGGGTGCATGAGACAAGTGCTCCGGCCTGGTGCACTGGGAAGACCCAGAGGGATCGGGTGGAGAGGGAGGTGGGAGGGGGGACCGGGATGGGAATACATGTAAATCCATGGCTAATTCATTTCAATGTATGACAAAACCCACTGCAATGCTGTAAAGTTATTAGCCTCCAACTAATAAAAATAAATGGAAAAAAAAAAAAAAGAATGTTGGTTGTTAGTAACCTGCTGTATATACCATCATTCAAGAACCATATTTTTAAAGAGGTTTTGTAGTTAAGTTTATCAACAGATAAAAAAATAACCGAGAGTTAAAAATGACAGTTTATAATATTATGGTCATCCACCTGTAATAACATCCTATAGTATTCTATATGTATGTCTCTAGTGAGATAATTTTTAAGGTTATAAAAAAGGATTCCTTACGAGCAACTAGGTTTTATTTGTTTGCTTTTGAGTTTGTCATTACCTGGTACTCCTAAATTTGTAATAGTTCTCTTTTTTTTTTGAAAAACCTCAAACTCCTGAATTTGAACATATTCACTGATAATAAAGATCACTGATAATCAGCAGATAGATCTTTGCAGTTTTAGCTTTTGGAATTTTTTCTTTCTTTCTTACTTTTTTTTTTTTTTTTTTTAAATTAATTAATTAATTTATTTATTTTTTTATCACAACCATAGTGTATCTTTTTTTTTTTTTTTACATGTATTCCCCATCCCGGTCCCCCCTCCCACCTCCCTCTCCACCCAGTCCCTCTGGGTCTTCCCAGTGCACCAGGCCCGAGCACTTGTCTCATGCACCCAACCTGGGCTGGTGAACTGTTTCACCCTAGATAATATACGTGTTTCAATGCTGTTCTCTTGAAACATCCCACCCTCGCCTTCTCCCAGAGTCCACAAGTCTGTTCTATACATAGGAGTCTCTTTTTCTGTTTTGCACATAGGGTTATCGTTACCATCTTTCTAAATTCCATATATATGTGTTAGTATACTGTAATGGTCTTTATCTTTCTGGCTTACTTCGCTCTGTATAATGGGCTCCAGTTTCATCCATCTCATTAGAACTGATTCAAATGAATTCTTTTTAATGGCAGAGTAATATTCCATGGTATATATGTACCACAGCTTCCTCATCCATTCGTCTGCTGATGGGCATCTAGGTTGCTTCCATGTCCTGGCTATTATAAACAGTGCTGCGATGAACATTGGGGTGCACGTGTCTCTTTCAGATCTGGTTTCCTCGGTGTGTATGCCCAGAAGTGGGATTGCTGGGTCATATGGCAGTTCTATTTCCAGCTTTTTTAGAAATCTCCACACTGTTTTCCATAGTGGCTGTACTAATTTGCATTCCCACCAACATTGTAAGAGGGTTCCCTTTTCTCCACACCCTCTCCAGCATTTATTGCTTGTAGACTTTTGGATAGCAGCCATCCTGACTGGTGTGTAATGGTACCTCATTGTGGTTTTGATTTGCATTTCTCTGATAATGAGTGATGTTGAGCATCTTTTCATGTGTTTGTTAGCCATCTGTATGTCTTCCTTGGAGAAATGTCTGTTCAGTTCTTTGGCCCATTTTTTGATTGGGTCATTTATTTTTCTGGAGTTGAGCTGGAGGAGTTGCTTGTATATTTTTGAGATTAATCCTTTGTCTGTTGCTTCGTTTGCTATTATTTTCTCCCAATCTGAGGGCTGTCTTTTCACCTTGCTTATAGTTTCCTTTGTTGTGCAAAAGCTTTTAAGTTTCATTAGGTCCCATTTGTTTATTTTTGCTTTTATTTCTAAAATTCTGGGATGTGGGTCATAGAGGATCCTGCTGTGATTTATGTCGGAGAGTGTTTTGCCTATGTTCTCCTCTAGGAGTTTTATAGTTTCTGGTCTTACATTTAGATCTTTAATCCATCTTGAGTTTATTTTTGTGTATGGTGACTTTCTTACTTATTTTCCTCCTTTGGAACACACTAATGTGTATCTCATTTTCTGTCTGTTTCACTGTCTACTTCCATATTTTAGTAAGGAGAATAAATAGGAAGTACAGTATTAAGCAATATTATCAATCATCAATATATTCTTAGGAGATTGTAATTTCTAAATTTTTCTTGACTTTCAAAAATACTTAAAATTAGACACTTTCTTGTATTTTATTGTAAAATGTACATATTATAAAAAAGTAAAATTTAAACAGTGCAAAAGCATATATAGTAAAAAAGAAAAGTTCCAATCTTTTTGCATCAGGCTTTCCAGTTCTTAGAAAATCACATGTTCCTACATGATATTTTTAATGCATGTATCTTTTTGCCTAAATGAGTTCATTATATAAATTTTTCCAAAGTTTTTTTGTTTGTTTTTACAAAATAATAGCAAGTTAAAGAGCTTCTGAAAAGTATTCTTCAGTGCTACTATTAAACTGTTAGAAATTGTTTTGGAATTTTAAGGCTAAGTGAAGCCTTGAAAAGTAAAAGTGTTAGTTGCGCAGTTTTGTCCAACTCTTCGTGACTCAATGGACTATAGCCCACCAGACTCTTCTGTCCATGGGGTTTTCCACTGGAGATTAGAGCATTTTACAGAAAAGTAAAAGAGTGAGGAAAGCATTTGGAATTTGAACATCTCTACTGATCGTAGTGTCCAGATTTCATACTGGGTATGTTTTACATTTATGACTTGAGTCTCATTTTTCTCTCTTTCTATTATTTCTCCTTTTTCTACTTCTGTTATTTCCTAAGTATAAACAAGTAGCAGTGTGTGAGGACAGTTTCATCCGGTGAATTTCTGACACCATAGTCTTGCTTTTTGCTGTAACAAAGGGTAGCAGATGTGTGTTGAGGACTAAGAGGAATTGTAGCTTATTATGTCTTTATTACCTAGGTTAATACTCTACGACTAACTGAAACATTTTATGTAACTCACTAAAATGTTCCATTATTTTTATTTTCCTACCAAAAGTATACCCTCTATGCCTTTTTTTGATGGTTGATTTTTCCTCTAAATTAAAGAAGAAAATCTGAATTCCTTTTTCATTTTATAAAAAATAAGTTTAAACATTTATTTTGAAATAAATATTTTAACTGCCATTTATTTTGTCCTTAAGCAAGACTTTTCATTTTCATCTTTCAAAATAAATTCTTTTTGGATCCTTAATTGCTATAGTACTGAACGGCCAGGGTATCAATACACTATGTATAACAAATTTTTACCAAGTCCCAGTAGTTCATGCAGAGCTTGCTACACCAGATAGATTTACCATCATGAATCACACATTTATATCACCAGACACTGTCAAGTATTAAGTATACTGTACTGTGAGGTTGGAAAGATTTTTACCTATGGGAAGAAAAAAATTCAGAAACTTACTATGTTCTTTTTATAATATATATCCATAATATTCTTATAGCAAAATGACCTTTATGTTAAATTACTGTTTTCTTTTAAGTAATAAACATTTATTATTCAGGGGGAAAAAAATCTGCTTTCATAATGGGAAAAATTAGGTCAGGGGTGTTTTATTTCAGGTTTTATCCAGTTTTCTTATAAAGTTATGTTTTCTTTTAGCTCAGTGTTCATTTGTTTTGTGAGGACAGAAGTCAGAGATTCTTTGGAGAAAGTTAATAAAAGCTACAGATTTGTTTTTCTTGCTAAAAATATACACAGACACATGGAGTATTTCCCAGTTTCTTGAGGTTTACAAAGTTCTGATAAGATTTCAGTTAATAAAGGTAAGTTCCATCTAGAAATTTGTAATGTAGCTTTGGGGCTTCCATGACAGCTCGGTGGTAAAGAATCCTCTTGCAGTGCAGGAGATGCGGGTTGGATCCCTGGGTCAGGAAGATCCTCTGAGGAGAAAATGGCAACCCACTCCACTAATCCCAGAAAATCCTGTGGGCAGAGGAGCCTGGTGGGATACAGGCCATAGCGTCATAAAAGAGTTGAATGCGACTGAGTGACTAAGCGACAATAATATACCATTAAGGTACATTAAAAATAATGTTTCAAAGCAACAGCATATAAGTATACTTACAAGCTATAGCTTCAAAAACAATGAAAATAATTCAGTAATATAAACAGTAAAAGTTATACAAAAGACACTTACATTTTAAAAATATGGCAGCATTTTTTTTGAAGACCAAATTGTTAAGTTGGATAGTAGGTACATGAGTGTTTTGTTTTGGCTTTGTAACTTTTCATGAGTCTAAAGTATTTTATAATTAAACATAGCTTGCCTTGCAAAAGTTTATACCTTGGGAATTAAGATACAAACATTGTTGATAAATGTTTGCAGACAACATGGCACAGTCTTTACTGCAGAGTTTAATAATGAAAAATATCCATTTTTTTTCTTGAAGAGCTATTTCAGAAACATTTGATTTGTTTTCTGTTTTGTGACTGGAAGTGGCAAAAGAGGGAACATATCAGAGGAATCTCTTTAGTTTTGAATGGGTGTCACAAGCCAGCTGAAGGAAAACCCAAATCAAATAAGTGATAGGAATGAGAAAAGGAGAAAAAAGAGAAAAATAGGTAGTTGGAAAGTTGGAGTATTTTCTTGTAGAGTAGAAGTTGGGCTCAGTGCCTCAGTTGGATGAAAAGCCAGTGGCAATTTCAACTACCTTTTCAGACCGTAACTAACCACTAATTTTAGGCACTTCAAATTTTAAAAGTTTTGTTTCTTGTTATATGATAGTAGCTTGGTTAATAATTGTTGGGTACTTTGAAGACTTCAGAGGAAATAATGTCCTTTATGTGTATTATTAATGTGTTCATAATAGAAATCAAATCCTTTGGGGTACCCAGATACCAAGCTATGTGAGGTATAGCTATTATCTTAAACATGTCCTTTCCTTTGAAATACTTGGAATTTGAAGAACAGGGTATGCAATTTATAAATAATTCTGGAG